CTAGACCTCAACCAAAAGTGAGGTCAACAAGGCAGTAAATCGAAAGGTTGTGCGTGTCGTAGAGGTAGCGGTCCAAAGGATTGGTGTGCTGTGGAGGCAGCATCCTAGAAAGGGTGGGCATGCTGTAGAGGTAACGGCCCAAAGAATGTGCGTGTCGGGTGGTAGTGACGTAGAAAGGGTAGGCGTGACATAGAGGCAACTGCTTAAAGTGTGAGAGTGTCATGAAGGTAGTGACCCAAAGGATGGGTGTGTCATAGAGGCAGTGAATCGGAAAAGTGGGCGTGCTGTGAAGGCAACTACTCTAAAGATGAGTGTGTCGTGGAGACAGTGATCTAAAAGAATAGGCGCACGGAGAGGCATCGACCTAAATGATGGGTTTTTTGTGGAGGCAGTGATCCAGAATGGGTGAGCGCGCCATGGAGGCAGCAACTTAGAAGGTGAGATTGTTGTTAAGGCAGCGACCCAAAGAATGGGTGTGTCGTGGAGGCAGTGACCTGAAAGGGTGGGCATGACTTGAAGGTAGTTACCCCAAGGATGAGTGTCATGGAGATAGTGACATAAATGGGTGGGCGTGTCGTAGAGGCAACAACCCAAATGATGGGTGTGCCATGGAGGTAGTGACCCAGAAAAGATGTGTGTTGTAGCGGCAACGACCCAAAGAGTGAGTGTGTCGTGAAGGCAATTGCCCAAAGGGTGAAAGTATCGTGAAGGCAGCGACCCGAAGGATGGGTGTGTCGTAGAGGCAATGACCAGGAATGGCGGGCGTGCGTGGAGGCAGCGACCCCAAGGATGGGATGTCGTGGAAACAATAACCTAAAAGCGTGGGTGTGTCGCGAAGGCAGCGACCTAAATGATGGGTGTGTCATGGAGGTAGTGGCCCGGAATGGTGAGCGTGTCGTGGAGGCAGCGACCCTAATGATTGGTGTGTCGTGGAAAAATTTACCTAAAAGAGTGGGGGTGTCGTGAAGGCAGCGGCCCAAAGAATGGGGGTGTTGTGGAGACAGTGACCCAGAAAGGGCAGGCATGTCATGGAAGTAACGACCTAAAGGGTGAGTGTGTCGTGAAGACAGAGGCCCAAAGGATATGTGTGACAGGGAGGCAGTGACTCGAGATGGTGGGCGTGTTGTGAAGGCAGCGTCCCCAAGGATGGGTAAAGGGTGAGCGTCTCATGAAGGCAATTACCCAAAAGATGGGTGTACTGCAGAGGCAGTGGCCTGAGGAAATGATGATCCTCACTTGGGAGAATCATACAAGTGGGGTGAGTGTATGAATGTCTCAAAATGCAACTTAAGCATGTGATAAAGATTATGCAAAGCAACATGCAAACACCATCATTGCAGATGTGAAATATATACTATGTAAGTGATTGGTCAACCAAGTCGGGGCGGTCGGCCAGACCGATCAAGTGATCGGTCAACGAGGCTGGGGTGGTCAGATGGACCCATATGATAGATCAACCGAGCTGAGGTGGTAGTTCAGATCCAAGTGGTCGGTCGACCGGATGGGCGGCCGGTCGGACCCAAGAGATCTGTAATACAGATCGGGATGGTCGGTCGGACCCAATTTATAGGTCGATCAGGTTGGGGAGGCCCGTCAAACTTCACTGGTTGATTGACAGGGTAGGGGCAGCAGGTCGGACCCAAGTGATGTGTAGGACGGGTCGGGGCTGTCAATTGGGTCAACCGGGTCGGGGCAGACGGTTGAGGCAACATGCTATGTCGGCCAGACTGAGGTGGCCGACCGAGGCAAAGTGCAAGTACAACATGCTTTGAGTAATACTCATGTTGTACAGTGAGAAAAAGCAAATGATCATGTGTGATAACAAGTCATACTCATGTTAATGTTATGGCTTTGGCAGCTAGGGTTTAGCACTTGGATATGCAACATAACTACCTTGGGCTTTGGTAAGGAGCCCAGAGAACTTCATCCTTTGATTTTTCATAGAAGAAATTCTCCACTAGTAGTAGGATGGACTAGCAGCAAAGATTTTTATGCCCTACTATCCCTCCACGATCTTGTAGAATGGGCTAGCTATAAAGCTTTTCACATTCATCAAGATTGAATCGTTCCAACTTCCAACCCCTCCAAGGAAAGTTGGAACCTTGAAAACCATGGTAAATTAGGATTTTGACCCCTTTTGGCATTGATCTAAGGGTTCAAAAGGAAATCACTCGAATTCACGAAGAAATGTGGCTGTCGACAGTGTTGGCCGACCAATTCACCTCGTACGGGTGACCGAACCCACAACACCTAGCCAAAATATAACCATAGGGCTAGCTAAAAAGAGAAAGAGAAGGGTTTGAGGACGTTCACCTATGAGACGGTCGCGAATACATTTCTTTAAATAGGAGAAAACTTTTCGAACAATGGGAGAGAAGGTGACTATTGACCTCACTTCTGAAGAGGTCAATCTATATCATTTATATAAGCTCAAGCCCCAACCCTTTGGCTGATTGGGTTTTAAGGCTTTGACAAAGTAAATAGTTGAATTGACCATTAAGGGTAAGCATACCTTAGGCCACTTGGGTAAAGCTTGAAAATGTTAGGAGCCACTATGACCATTAAAAGTATAATAGGAAGGGGATATACTCAAATTGGCCTCTAACCTCAATAGTGGTCTTCTTAACTTCTCCAAACCCTAAAGTTTATATGAAAAGCCTAATTTGTCCTTTTAAACTTAAAAGGAACAAAACCACCTTACAGTCAACCCAGGTCAACCCTGGTCAACCTCATGAACCTAGGTCAACCATGGTCAACCTGATTAACCTAGATCAGCCCTGGTCAACCCAGATCAACCATGGTCAACATGGTTAATCCAGTTCAACCTTGGTCAACCCTAGCCAACTTTGGTTAACCATGGTCAACTTATGACAATTTGTTCAAATTTTCATTCTTTTAATTAATTAATTAAAAGAATGAATTTAATACCCATTTACCATAGGTTTAGGCCAAAACCCTAATTCTATGCTTAAAGCCCATATATTTAGCCCATGGCCCATGCCCATGATCCAACGGGTCATCAATGACCTACACTAACACACCAGGGATTTGCATGACCCATACATTTTTTAAATGACTAATAAAACAAAAGAGAAATTAAAATAAGGGAAAGGGGACAAAAGAATTTTTTCTACCTACCCCCCCTTCCCCTCATACTTGGCAATTTGGTCCAAGCAACCCAAGTCCCTTCATGTTTGGGTCAAGGAGGAGTGCTATCAAGCTCAACCACTCCACCTCTTCCCCTTGCCAATTTCTAAAAGCCCTGGATTTCTCCCTCCTCCTCCATTGGAGCCAACATGGACAAACATGCGAAAACTACAATTCCCTTCATAACTTCTCCCTCTGATCTAGCGAAGCATGTCAGAGGGGTCAGGGGATCTTCCCCAAGAAAAATTTGACCACATCAAAGCCTCCCATGGCTATTAAAAAGGGCTACTAAATCTTCAGAAGCCAAAATTAATTTATAAACATAACAGAAAGTTTGAATACACCACTCACTTAACAATGAGCCCCAAAAGTGCTAAAAATTTTTGTTTAGAATAATTTCACATATCCAACACATTCTTATGTATTTACATATCTAACACATAAAATTTAATATTTGGCAAAATTTACATAATATTTTGGAGGTCATACGAAAGAATTGGGTAGCATAAATTTAATAAAGTAAAATTAAGTTGTACAAATTCCTACAGTCAATGCAGCCATTATCAATACATTAAATGAAACATAAAGCAAAAATAAGAACTATTGAGATGGTCCACAAAACAAACAAAATAGTTATATGTTTAAGCTCCCCAAGCTTAGGAAGAATGCTTCTTTAGAGGTAATTAGCTCTCAAATACCTTCACAATATATATAAAAAAACCAAAAAAAATAATTAAAATCTAATTCACAGACAATAACAGTATAATTCTGAAAGTAAGAAAATATGAAAATTCCCAAATCATAATCAGAAAGAATCACACACAAAGCTCTCAGCTCAATGCAGTTCTTAATCTCTACAGAATCGGTCCACGAAGGTTGTTCTCATGTAGAGCCATGCAAAAACCCAAAAAAAAAAATGAAAATCATAAAAATTTTTAGCCCT